AAGATTCACAAACAGATCATCGAAATCACTGAAAGTCCGCTCTTCTTGAAACTTAATCCAACGGTTTGTAACTTTATTTCAATGTTTGATTAGTGCATAACTTATGAGATAATGATTGTATTGATTGGTTAGACTCGACACACAGGACTTCCCATTAAATTGTATGAATCGGTGATTGATTTGGTGAACGGTTTGGCGACAATGCTTTTCGTTGACATACCGTTCAATTTGGCCACAGAAGAGGCCGAACGCATAGGTCTGGACCACATGGCGAGGATGACGGCCACCACACAGTCGGGACAAATGGCCAACTCTTTGGTGGCGGAACACCTGCGCGTCCAATACAGTGCCGTCAAGATGTTGAGGGATAGGGTTCGGCTGATCCTCGACTACGTCCGCGACATTCGCAACGATTCCGTCGAATGGAATCACGAGATTCTTCGCGAGACATTCAATCTCTGCCATCGCCTACCGGTCCTCAGCTCTGATAAGTTTTCGCAAGACTTTTACAATCAGTGCAATGATGTGGCGCTCATGACTTACTTAGGAATGCTAACCAAAGGATCAAATACTGTCAATCAGTTCGTCAACAAATTCAATATACTTTACGATAGACAAGGAATGGGTCGCAGAATGAGAGGTCTCTTCTTCTGATTCCAACCATTATTTCTAATTATTAATACTATTGCTTTGTATTCACTATTACTACATATGACTACATATGACTGATAGTAATTTTGATGTAAATTATTTCTGTATTCAATAAATCAAATTGTTTTCACAATCTTTTGTCTTAATTGTTATTTATATTGAAAGTTATATTTGTTTCATTGATAAAGAAATGTCTGTTAGAATGACCACAATTTTATGCACAATTAACACATCAATACATTATTAGAGATTTTTATTCAAATATAGTGAACTACACTTCAAATATAGATTTAATAAAGTGTTAATTTAATTGTAATAACAATTTTAATACTGTATTAATAACCCGATTAATTGACGTTATTTGTTGTGATTTGTATTACCTCCTATAAAACAAAATATCCGAAGATCTATGCATAAAGTATGACACCTATAGAAGGAGTGCAATGGGTTTAACACATATACAACTGCAGTAATTGGGGGGCAAAGGGGGCACTCATATAAAAGACATGCGTTAAATGTCTCACATTTGTGGCAAAAGTAATGCCATTTGTGTAACAAATAGTGTTTACAATTGAATGTTATTATACCGTAAACTGTAATTAATTAGGCATTAAATCGTGAATTAATAGTAAATCCAATCGTTTAAGCGTTGAATCGATGCCTAAAATAAGAAGAGCTCGTAATAAACCTCCGCCCGAAGGCTGGGAACTAATAGAGCCCACACTCGAGGAGTTGGAGGCGAAGATGAGGGACGCGGAGACCGAAACACATGAGGGGAAGCGTAAGAGCGAGTCTTTGTGGCCCATCTTTAAGATCCATCACCAGAGGAGTCGCTATATCTTCGACCTCTTCCACAAACGCAAAGCCATCTCCAGAGAGCTCTACGACTACTGTCTTAAGCAGAGGATCGCAGACCAGGCGCTGATCGCCAAATGGAAGAAACAGGGTTTGTGTCACTCACTCGACCACTCGCTCTACCACTAATTGACCACTAATTGTCTTATTGTATTTATAGGCTATGAAAACCTGTGTTGTTTGCGTTGCATTCAAGTGCGGGACACAAACTTTGGCACGAATTGCATTTGTCGGGTCCCGCGAGAGAAACTCGAAGACCCAAACGCGTCCACTCGTGAGTGCATTCACTGCGGATGTCGCGGCTGTTCGGGTTAGACATCGATTCGGTTTTCTCTTCATATTTTTTATTTAATTATAAATGCTATCCATTTGTACTCATTATTGACAATAATTATTACATTTAATAAATAGATTAAAACAATATTTAAATCTAAAAAACATTAAATAAATAAATATATGATTTTATGGACAAAATGTCTAATTATTCGTTACTTTATTAGATATTCACCGGATTTTAATCCAAAACACGATTCCTTTCCTTTATAGCTATAAATCTATACTTTAAGCAAACAATTATTTATTGGAGTTTTTGAAGAGATATTTGAAGCCATCAATGAATGCGAAGAAGTTATCCAAAACTCTTCATTCATCTGAAGTGAGAATTTTGATTCCGAAGCGAATCCTCAACTGTTCGAAGAAGACAAACGTCAGTATTGTTTGCGGCGCTAAACGTATGAACGCCGGGACGTAGCCCTTGAAGAAGCCCACGAAACCCGACTGACGGAACAGCAATCGTATGGAATCACTGACACTCTGGTACTCATTGGCCGATGCGTTCATTAGTCTTGTCTTCAATACATCCAACTTATAGAAAGAGACACACAATTAATCACAAAATACTCAACACTTGTGAATAAGAGTAAATACCGGTTGAGTGAGAGTCGTGGCCACAGCACCGGCTAATGTGCTGGCAGTGAAGTGCGTCAACATATTGTCCTTAAACACGTCGGGAACTTCAGTCATCAGCATATACTTGAACTGATCGTATGTCGACAACTGTCCGATTGTCATCATCACAGCCCTAGTGGTAGCCATTGTCGTGCCGTTGAATAGAGATCTGATTCCTTCATCTCTATAAACCCGAATGAGTCCATCGATGGCGTGCTTATAGTTACGCCGGTTAGCGACGGGTAGTTTAATGTCATTTTGCATCCGAACGTTAACCATATCGGCCGGAGTTCCTGATTGTCACACAAGACATTACAATTCAATACCTTTACGTAAAGCTTCAATCAAATCATCACTCAATTGCACAATGAGTTGTAGGCATTGATGGCATCACATGAGCGCATACTTACCAATGAAACCTCCGGCAGCGCCCGAAACTCCGGCCAAAATAACCCGCTGTGAGAGAGGTATTTGATCTCCATTTGGAGAGAGCTTTTGTTTGACCACTTCGTAGATCCCGAATCTTGTGGTGGAATATGTCAATTGTCTCAATAGAGATGCTGTCAATCCGTTATAAAGCGCCAAAACTCCTTCACTCCTGACAATGACCAGAGTGTTGGCCACGAGCCCGACCTGTGGCGAAGGGGTGCCGGCATTGAGTTTAGCCCGGGATGTGGTTTGTAAGTGAACTTTGAGTAGATCTAAGGGATGAGTACAACAGGCGGCGCCGGCGGAGGCCACTCCTCCGAAATACCATTTGGCCACTCGATTATCACGTGATGTCATGTTTTGGTTAATTGTTTAGTCAACTAATGGAAGACTTGGATTCAAATTCACAGTCAATGACAAGATTTGCGAAATAATTGATAAGAAAAATATGGACTGATTTTCACTATAATTGTTAACAAATAGTGACAATGAGTTGAGAGGACTTCAGGACATCACCGCATGTGAAGGCAATCGTGAGATAATCTTCGTTTCTTTCTATCACTTAATCATATGATAATTGCAGTCCTTTTCATGGCTTTTGCGACACTCGAGTCGACTCAACATTTAAGTCAAATGTTTGATAATAACGTTAAGTAGAGATTAGTTTAGTCTTAACGATAATATTAATTGATTATAAAAACCCCATTAATTAGGCATTAATTTTGAAGGAAATATTACTATATATTTATTACATAACCATTTGATGGCATTTATAGTGCCTTTCAATTGATTGCACCAAACCTTATGACCTGTCAATCACTTGCCCTTCACTTCAGTCAATAACTATTGCCTAAAATAGAAATATTTTCATAAATAGTTAAATAAATATAATATAATTGATTAAAAGTTAATCAATTAAATCAAGAAAGCATTGAAATTTGAAATTTAAATTTTTTACAAATAAAATATTATTTTTCATTAAAAAATAGGGTTTGAGAAGCGATTGAATGGCAAAACACGACATCTAGTATGCAATCAATGCTAATGTATTCACTATTTCTCACAAAACACTAAACTTTCACTTATTTTGATCATGTATTTTGATTTTGGTCTTAATTGAGTGCACTTTGATTGGCTTTTAGCTGACATTTGGCGGCCAATGTCTTCGCGATGGTAATCACCAATGAATGTCAAATGAATGCCAATGACTGACTAGTTTGTGATGAATAGGTATCCGCGGTATGTGTTGGGCAACCCTCAGCTCCGGGTCTTTTTGCCAGACTTTTGGATGGTTTTACAGAAACCCAAAGACCCGTTACCCGCAAATCGGGTTCAATTCAAAATACCCGTTATGTATGCTTTGGTCTCCAAATTGCCATTTGATTACAACTAATTGATTGATTGATCCCAAAGTATGACCAAATGGGATGTCAGGAACTATTTGGAGAAAATCTACAAAATACCGGTCGTAAACGTGCGGACAGTCGTCCGCTGCGGCGATATTAAGAGAGCCAATGGGAAGATGTATCTCATCAAAGAGGAGGACTACAAGACAGCGATCGTTGATTTGGTATTATTTGAAAATTAACATTAATTTCTGGATTGAATTTTTAAATGACTATTTAATTTGATTTGAAGCCAAAGGATATGACATTTGAATTCCCGGAACTCTTCCCACACGAAAAAGTGGATCAAATGTCGACCGATTTAAAAGATGGTCAGAAAGAGCTAGAATTCGGGACATTAAGGGAAAAACGGAAGAATCAAAAGAATATGAGAGACAACGTTCCCGATTGGTTCGGTCTCTAACACACAATCACATCATTTGTTTAGTTTTGTAGACATTTATTAAATAAAATCAATTAGTAATATATATTCGTATATTTCAAACATCTATCAAATGGATCCAAATCTATAAATATGAACACATTTATTGGCGCCGACGGCCAGTATTGGTATTTTGCAATTCCAAGCAATACCAGCGCCCGCTTTCATCTGTTCCTCTAATAATACCTACAATTGAATAATGAAATGATTTAATAATAATAATGAACACATTTATTGGCGCCGACGGCCAGTATTGGTATTTTGCAATTCCAAGCAATACCAGCGCCCGCTTTCATCTGTTCCTCTAATAATACCTACAATTGAATAATGAAATGATTTAATAATAATATTAATGGCAACTAATGTCTCAATACTTGATTGGTTTTAAGATTTTCGACTCTAACTGTATTATTAGGTCGTCCTCTCGTCGCGATTATATTGGAATCGAAAAGTTTGACGGATTGGGAACCGTTTATGTGACCTCTTCTCTGTTCAATCGGTAAACTATGGGTTCAATACAACATTACATGAGTTGTCATAACAATTGTATCGTTGGGTACAAAGAGAAGGAATATAAGAAAACCTCGACAGAGATGTGTCCCAAAAGAAGAGATCAGTTCCGGCGACACAAGTGATGAACAAACTATTAGTCGGAGACCAGTCTGCGCTCAGGAGTGGGAAACGATTGCAATCACAAGACAAAAGCGGCCGTTTTGTATGGCAGTCGTAGAAACGGATTATCCCTTTCTTTTCGGCTATAAATAGCTGTTGAAAGAAATGAAGCAAACATTAAATACAGTTCATTACAAACAGGAATGAGCTATACTTTGTTGGGATCACTCTTATGCCACTTAACGCTAACTCCGGCCGAAGTGAGCGACAGTTTGGCACTCAAGTCGACGCCAGTGTCGGTCGATGTCCACAAACAACAGCTGCAGTCGTCGCTGACTGAGGCCAACGTATGGCCGCCGAACGGATCAAACGCGATGTCGTTAACATTCAGACACACGACAGCTTCTATACGGTTTAGGTGCAAGCCAAGCGACCAGAAGTCCAGCCTTCACTACTGGGCTTACAGCATGACTACCCAGCGGCGGCGGTTGGCTTCTGTGCTCAGTTAGTGTACCATATTGGTTTCGGGACTGAAACAAACGGCACTACACTTGACGCCAATTATGAAGTCTTGGATCAACTCGTAGTCGAAATTAGTGTCTAAATTGTCGTCACTTAAGAGTAATTTCATGACAAAAACTCTTGCGTTTGACTCAAAAGCCAACAAATTGTGAGACAATTGCTGTGAACTAAAGGCAATGCAGTCAACGATTTCTGGACTTATTATACGATAATGTGATGAATGACTGCTTTTGGTCTCATCTCTGGTCTGGTCTCTCGTCTCCATCCGGTCTTCGGCACCACTTTTCGGCTCATTGTATGACATGAAGAGTCGACTCGTGGACAGAGAATCCATTGTTGAGTCCAAACAAATGACTCTCACATGTGATGTGCCGTCACTTCAGATCTGATGCCAAGTCTTGTAAACAAATCATTCAATTGGCGTTTGGTTTGAATTTTATGAACACTTTATGTGACCATAAATTATGTCATTATTTCTCAAACACTTGTTTCGCCACAAAATCAACTTTAATTGCAATTAAATTGGAAATCAATTCAATAAATATAAATCTATTTTCCGATAAACGCATAAAATTCACAGAAATTGTCAAATAATGGCACAAATGGTGACCAAAGCGGGGATTAGTGTTGTCTTCGTTGCGGACGTAATGGATGTGAGGAATGGTGTGATTGAGTCGAGTCTTTGTCTTTCCCTCTCTTTTGAGTTTTCAACGGATTTTGCATTTGAGTCGATATTTGTGTGCATTTCAAACAAATCGCTCTTCAATTGTGTTTGGAGTTGATCTGCAACTGATCCCAAGAAGTGACGACAAGATGGCCTCCTATGACGTCGACGAGATACTGGACTCTCGCAAGAAGGGGAAAGGCGTGGAGTTTTTGGTCCGCTGGGCGCCCACTTGGGAGGCGGAGAAGAACCTCTCGTGTAAGAAACTGCTCAACGAGTTTAAGGCGAAGAACAGCTCGAATGGTGACCACGAAGACGACGGCGACGACGACGAGGAGGAGGACGAAGAGGAAGAGAAGAGCGGCAATACGTCCCGCAGAGGAGCGCCCCGTAAGGCGGCGCCCAAACGAAAGGCCGCGGCCAAGGGGTCGGCCAAGCGGTCCAAACGCCGCCGTTGAGACACAAGAGCGGAACCGATGGACGAAACCGAAGGACGCCATCACTTTCCCCACAATTGTGTCCACTTTTTTAATTTCATTTCAATTCATAATTCATATAAAAATAAGACATTTTATCCGATTTTCAGTTTTGTTTCACTTTTAAACTCATAATAAAATCTCATTTCAAATCTCTATTCAATAAAATAAAGTCTAAATCAAAATCAAAATGTGTTTTATTTTGTTGTATAAATAAATGCGAATAAAGGGCTTGTATTGGGAAGTGTTGTCATTATGTGATTGATTTAGTGGTGAAGAATTGGATCAATTGAATGGTTGTAGTGTTGGACTCATTGACTGCATATTGAAAAGACTGGTAGTGTTTGAGACCTATATATTGGGTATGAGTTGTCTCTGAGAAGCCATTATTGCACTTCATTTCAAATCTCTTTTTTTCATGTTTTGTGTCTATTATTTGTAAATATATTCAACCGATTCATTCATTTAGACATATATTAGTTAATGCAATGATTCAATTAATTGTACAATTTATTAATTTTAATACAAATTAATTAAATTTAAGTACTCGATGCAACTTTTTCTGGGAATACATTTTACTGAGAATTACAAGATTATTTTAGTATGTCTTTTATAGACATGGCTTAACGTTAATAGTATAGAGAATAGTTTAGAAAATACCCCTGCCGGTAATTAAATTAAATACAATTATTATATATAAAATCCCATCAACATTATATAAACATATGATCAAAATAGGGTCAGTATATAGTCAAAATATAGTCAACATAAGCAAGTGTTATATAAAAAATTAGTCAAGTTATAGTCAAGACCACTAGCGAGTACTCATCTTAAAAGGAGGTATAATTTTTGATTAGATACTTCCTAACACCGCCTTTCAATTATCATATTTAAACACATTATAACAAATTTTTGCGGCTAATCTGCTGATTAATAATCAACTAAACGTTTACAACTCATTTAAATCACCTCTAACTTATGTATTGTCTTAAACATACGAACACTATGTAAAACATATACAACATAGTATATAAGTCCCGATTCATACACTATCTTCAGTGTTGTGTTGACTTTACAGTCGTAAACTCATTTGATGCGAAGGTCTGGGGATAAGAAGCTGTCGTATTTCCCCACTTCACTCAATATAATAGTTTTATCCCAATATGATCTCCAATTTTAGGCAACGGACATTAATTGTAATTATTGTAGGTATTATGGCCTTTGGTCGGAGGGGGAGGTGAGGTGGCGATCGTAGAAATTGATTTAAATTCTTTATTATTTGCTTTACTTCTTTAGGAATATGTTTGTTTTTAAAGCTATTATTGTTATTATCACTCATTTTAATAATTAATAACAGCTTTAATTGTTTATTTTAATTACATTTGTCTAAACGTTTATTTATTCAATACAGTAATTGTAACGTTTTATGAGTACACTCATCATTCACAACAGTAAAATACTTGATATTAGTGCCGTTTAATATAAAATACTATATTTTTTAACTATAATAAATAGACACAAATGTTTGCAAAAAAATATTAAAACCATGGGTTATCAAAACAACACTCTTATGACTAGTGTTATTTGATTACCAATGCCAATTATTCAGTTTCCCATATAGTCCACCAATCATTTAATATATATAATTATCAACTGTTTAATATCACCTTATTAAGGTTAGAATCGTTTGTATAGTAAGCAATTTCGCCCAGAAATATCGTCACTGATTTCGGAGACAAATCTTTTAATTTTAGTTTGTTAGATAATTAAATAATATCTTTTAAATTTTTGATTTTTCAGTTAATTTTTGTCTAATTAGTTCATCTGTTTTGCTGAAATGACATCCCATTCGGGTAATCAATTTATAAAATATATATAATGAACACTCGTTGAAACTTAATTGACATGATGGGTCAAAATGACATTTATTATATAAGTCAGTAATGTGTGAATTAATGATATCATAATTACAGGCACAAATAACCTCGTCAATTATCACGTCAATTAAATCCCAAATTAATTGTCTAGCATGTGTTTTTTTAAATTGAAACTATACTATTTATTTCAACATTAATAATTTTATCAATAATTGATTCACTTATTAAAAACACTCCTGATAAATGTTTAATAATATCGTTTTTATAGTGAGAAACAAGTAGTCACTCAAATGAGATTCAATCGCGTTTTGTTTAACTAAACATTTATTAATTACTAAAAACGGATCAAATTTAATACAAGAAATGGCTTTCAAGTTTGACTAAAAGTGAGATTAAGACAGAAGCGATATATATAACAAAAGAGCGTTAAATATAAAGGCATTTACATAAAAAGGCATTGATTGAGTGAAGTGAGTGGTCGGCAGTGTCGCCATCTCACAATATTTGTATATGCTTTCAGACTATATTATCATAATTGATTTATAATGCACTTTTCAATATGTTTTGACACATAATTACCACTACATATGAAAGAGTTTATCGCATAGTAAGGTATATCCTATGCATTATTTCTATGGAGAGTGAGAGGTATCAATAACTCAAAATCTACTTGGTTAATTTTAAAGATCTATACACCAAATTGTTCACAATAAAATGTAAGTCGAGACGTATATCAATATTTTTATACAAAATGAGACAATTTTGAGTATTGCGCCTAAAAGTGGAAAAAATTCTTAGATTTAAACTGCTTGCCATTTAAAATCTACACGAGTAATTTTATTTATCAGTATATTATTTTGTTTATATTAAAACAAATAAAAACTACTTTTGTTAGAT